GCGCAAAAAAAACAAAATTTTTATTCGGGGGGCTTTTCCCAGCCGCCCAAAGGGGCTACCATCCCCAGTCCCCAGAGGGGTGGTGTGTAGGTTGTCGCGGCGAAGAAGAGCTCCGGAGATCGCGGCCGTGGGGCGCGGGAGGGGGGGGCACGTGTAGTCTGTCGCGGCGAAGAAGAGCTCCGGAGCACGATACTCGAGGGCGCAGACGTAGCACAGGGAGGGGGAGGACTCGGCGGCGCCGCGGCTGTGGTCCTTCGCGGCGCCAAAGTCAGCGAGCACGCAGATAATGTCCGCGCCGTCTGCGCTGCCCCGCCGGTGCGAGACCAGCACATTCTCGGGCTTGACGTCTCGATGTACGATGCCGAGGCGGTGAACGTGGGCGAGGGCGGTGGCGAGCTGGCGGCCGGCGCTGCGCGCGAGCTCGATGTTGCTGAGTGGGTCGGTGGCACGCGGCGCCTCGTCGATGTAGGCGCGGAGCGACGAGTCGAAGAGCGGCAGTACCTGCACGAGCAGGCTGCCCTCGCGGTCGAAGAAGTAGGACTCGAGTTGGATGATGCGGTTCGCGTGGGCCTCGGCGGTCCGGAGGCGCAGCATGAGGGCCAGCTCGCGCGCGCTGCTATTCCCGCGCGGCACTGCCTTGAGCGCCACCGCGCGGGGACCCTGCCACCGGCTCGCAGCGCTCACCGCCCGCACAACGACGCCATTGGCGCCTCGCCCGACGATCTCCTCGACGGTGAAGCCCGCACCGTCCAGAGGCCAGCCCGAGAGCGTCGCCGGGGACGATCGCAGCTCGCAGAGCGAGATCCCGCCCCACTCGCCGCGGGTGGGGTCGAAGCTCGGCTGGACAGACGTCTGCATACCGTGCGGGGGCCGGGTGCCCGTGGACCGTGCTGCCATTGCCATTCGCGTCACACCGATTGCCTGTTCGACAGACGCCGCGGGGGTTTGTACCATGAGCGGTCAAGAAAAAATTCCCGCGTGGGGTTTTGCAAGATCACTGTTGGATTGTGATGAGACCCTCCCGGCGCGCTCACTCACAAGCGCTCGCGGCTGGAGCGATTGGGAGTGCCCTCTGTGCAGGTGCTAGCAATCCTTGGATCTTGGGTACGATTGTGAGCGCCGCCGCTCATAGTCCTACAAGATGGCAATCGGAGGCATGTTGCTCGGATTGTGAGCAAAGCTGCTCGCATCCTAGACTTTGCTCGGATTTCGAGCGCGCTGGTAGTAGTCGTAGGCGTCACCAGTCACCTTGGGAGCGGAGCTGCTCTTAGTCCTAGAAGATGTAGGATTGCGAGCGTAGGTGCTAGCAATCGTACAGAGATGCTACGATTGCGAGGAGTGCTGCTCACAATCCTTCGACTTCTAGGATTGAGAGCGAGGCTGCTCTCAATCCTAGCGGTCTACAAAAGAAGGTTCACCGTATAACTGGGCGGCCAAATTCACACCTCGCGGGACTACTTATGTTTCGTAAACGTAGTCGTGGCCCCCCGCTATACGTCGCACGAGTGCAACTTGGTAGCGGGGGGCTAAAAAGGGAAGGATGGGAGGCTCCTGCGTCAATCTGCTGCCGTCGCGACGCGGCAATTTCCTTGCGCTTGGCGAGCGGCGTGCTCGGGAACACGTCCACGCTCCATACGCGCACGAGAAGCAGGACCGGCATGAGGACTTAGGCCCCTTAACCGCCCTTACCAAGGACCGGCCGGCTTAAGCCTTGGGTTTTAAAGTATTCTTTTCCGCCCTGTTCCGGACCGGGGGGAGGAAAAGGCGGGCCCTTCGGAAAATCCTGGCCCTGGCCCCCTCCCTTTTGGGGGGGAAACCCGGATTACCCCCCCCCCCCCCCCCCCCGGAGTGTGGTAGACGTC